ATCCTAAGGCTGCATGGCCAGCCTAGAAATATGAGTGAAAGATGAACGTTAGAGGTATGCCATCTAAAACACACTCTCTCTCTCTCGAACAAACTCCTTCTTCCTCAAGTGGTCTGACTTGATCATCGGAGGGTCTATCCGACAAACCACCGCCGGGCAGCTCACCGTTTCTGTGTTGCCAGGTTAGACGCCGTCACTAGAAGCTTGAGTCCAAGGAGTACGGAAAGCACTGGATATTTCGCCCCCCATAGGTTACAGAAGGCTTTATTATACTTGACAATTCTTAAAAATGATAAGAGTATTGCAAAATTCATTACTAAACCAAATAGGAATCCACAATCACAATACCCAAACGAACTGAACACAACATATCAAATTTTTAATTTAACTGCAAAAACAGCTTAGCAAAAACCCCATTAATCACCAACTATGTAATGCCATAAAAGTTTTTTATTGTACTTCAAAATTGAGCAAAACCCACACAGTAATGCAAAATTCATTAGAAAGCCAATGGTACAATTCAGGTGAAGATTCAATGTAGATCGAACTTTTGATTCACTTGTGAGATCCAGGTAGTCGGGGGGAAGAGGTGTGGGGCATAAAAGCGGAGAAAAGCTGTAGAAATTCCTAAATCACAAAATTTAGCTATTGATTCTTTCTCCACACAAAACCCAAAAGTTTCACTACATAAGAAATCCATAAAAATTAAAATCTAGAAGTTTCAGAGAATACACACATCACTATTTTGTGTCGCTAAACTCCACCCTCTAGCAATGGAGCTCTTCTTAGCTTCATTAAAAGATCAAACCAAAGCATCTTATAGCACATATAATGAACAACTACGAGATCTGTATAAGCAAAATTTAAGAAAAGCGTCATGAAATTAAAGATAAATAGAACATAAGGTAAATTACACTGACCTCCTTAACAGTTTGGGGGAAAAAATATAATAAACCTTACAGTTCTGATATACATCCTTTTTGGTAAGGTCAAAGAAATTAAAATTAGTGCACATGGTAAGAAAACACAAAGATAAATAACATACAATACCCACCAAAACGGGAGGTTCATATTGAAGCAACCAAAACTAATTGTTTCAAACGTCTTTATCAAACCTAGCAAAATTTTGATTAATCAACTCTATTTACTCGTAAGAACGAAAAGTACTTAAAAGGTAAAAAGTTTTATTCAATAAAATGTATGTTACTTTTAATACAGGACCTCAGAGAAACCAAAACTCATTTCCCATGGGGATGACATTCTCTTGATCTAAGTTTTGTGGTGCACAATTGTTCACTTGTAAATATTATACAAGAATTTGAGAACTTATGTCATAATTATAAAATCTCATCTTTTGATATCTATACAAGGAAATTCAATAACAAACAAATTAGTTATAGAAAATATTGAGAACCTATTAATATGTTCATTGGCTTGCAATATAACAGATTTTGCAGAGTTGAATAATTGGGTAATAAGAAGTGCAATGGATGTTACCTTAAAAGTAGCCAAAAATGAATTATCGAATGAGAGGAATAATTTGAAAGCCCTTATTTTATTTTATTTTGCATAGCTACCTAGCTGATTTTTGCAGGTGGATTGAAAGTCAAAAACCAAAAAGAAATTACTTAAATCTTCAAAAAGACAAAACCCTTACTACTAAAGCCATGTTCTGTTATGTCTAGCTTCCCAGTTAATTCCTCCATGTAGATTTAAGCCTGAAAAACCTTAAAATTAAAATCAAATAATAAAATTTGCTAAAAATAGAACCAAATAAATGAAACCTTAAATTCATACCATTGTAGGAAGCAAAATTTTTGGAGGTGGACATTGTATCAAGCAAAACTGACATTGTCTTTAATCTCTTTATCAAATATAGTTCACAAATGCTTTGTTTTGTATATAAACATATATAAATGAAATAACAATAAAAAAGTCCAAAAATTATTTAACAACAGTAGAACTGTGGAGATGCAATAAAAGAAACAAAAAGTTGGGACTGACAACAGCTTATAAAAGGAATAGGCAATTGTTTTTTTTCTTTTTAATTTTCAAATTTTTGAGTTGTGTTGTATACTCTTTCAGTTGGCAATTATGAGGTATATTAAAAGTAAAACGAGCAAAATATATTGCACTGAAGGAGATGAATAATCCACAAACAAATGGAACCATTGCCAAAGAAGGTGAACACTTTTACAATTCTTAAACCAAAATATATCGCACTGAAGGAGATGAATAATCAACAAACACATGGAACCATTGCCAAAGAAGGCAAACACTTTTAAAATTCTTAAACCAAAAGTATCCCAATAAACCTCAAGTCAATTTAGAAGACTACTCAAAATATGCACAACATCCACATGAAACAGTTTGCATAGGATTCTTGGCATTTGAGAGAGTTGTTTCCAATTCTATCATCAATTTATGTGTTCCTAAAGTTTTTCAAATTATTAAGTTCTCTTGGAGCAAATTTAGGTGATGCTCTAAATTAATAGCTATCAGCGTAAATTACAAAACTTATAACTTTTGTGTTAGAATTTTAGGAGACAATTTGAAATGTACTATTTAGTAAAGGACATGAAATATTACTCCCAAAACATTGAATAATTTCTCGTCAATGTGACAAACTTGTCGTGTCTTTTATTATGTGGGAATGCATTTATTTTCCTTAATTCATATTAAGGTAAATCATAATATTGTGAGCGTAAATAACGTGTCACTAATTAATGAATCTATTATACCTGATTTTAATTGAGACTTGTTCAATTGAGTTAGTAGTATCTCCAAACTCAATCGAAAATTTAGAAGGATTAATGGCAAACTCGACCCATTGAACTCTTCGATAAAATTCAAGCTTAGGCTTTGACAAGACAATTTAGGCAAAGGCTATAATCAAATCCTATACATTTAAATTTTTTCTTAATTGATTATGATTGATCAACTTAATTAAAGTGAATCCAATATTCTATTTTGCTCACTTTCTTGAGAAATTGAATCCCCAACTAAATAACTTTTTACCTTCTTGGAAAAATGGATCCCGACTAAATAGAATATTTGATTCACTTCAATTAGTTTAATCAATCATAATTGATCAAGACTATTAATAATGTGATCATTTCAATATGCAAAAATCAAGACTATTAATAATGTGACAATCCCAATGGGCAAAAATCAAGCTGCAGGTAGGGATGGGACGTTAGTGTGGACAAATTATATCAATTACTAAATCAGATATAATCCTCTCACACAACTGTAAACCCACAAAGAAAAAAAAAAGTATGATTTATCTCATATGAGAGAATTGCATCTAATTTTGTGATTAGTTTATGTATTTTTAAACTTTTTCAAATTATTAAGTGTTCTTAGAATAAGTTCAGGTGGTAGTCTAAACTAATAGATATCAACATAAACTATAAAAGTCATCAATTTTGAACCCCCCAACATCTCATAATTTCAAACCAAACTACCCATCCAAAGAATTTGGATATAATAAAAATAATCTTACAATATACATAATTCATCTCATATCCTAAACATATTATATCCCATTATATCCAAATCCAATCCGGACAACTAAATAGGGCCTATAAGGTTATAACAACCAACCAATAGAGTTATCCAGTTTACAACTTAATTATTGGACTATAATTAACTACAAAACAAAGTGATATTAAGAAATTGTTAAGGTTTATTGAACTTTTCACACAGATAATATATTTTTCAATTTAATCAAAGGAATAAAATTAGTAATAAATTTTTTTAAAAAAAGTATGGCAACTTTTTGCAAACCCATTTCACAAAAGACACCTAATGAGGCAAAGAAAATCATTGGCCAAGGCTACAAGTTGCACAGTTTTTCATACCCAAAACTCAACATCATTTAACCTAAGAGTGGAATAAATAAAAATTATTAAAAAAAAAAAAAAAAACCCAAGACAGGAGAATACTTAAATAGAATAACAGTTAAAGATAAATTTTGTTGCCCAAAACAAATCCCAACATAGGTTAGGAATTTCAACAAAGCACAATCGAATATGTATAATATAGGCCTCTAAAAATCCACAACAATGAAAAACAAATCAATGAAACCCTCTTTTACCCAAAATGAATAAGCCACAAAATATACATAGTAAACATCATGCAAACAATAATAAAAAGAACAAAACCCTAACAAATTAACAGAACCAAAGAAAATTAAAACATTTTACAAACCCTAATTGGATCAAAAGGATCCAAAAATCGAAATACCTAACATTCTTCATCTATGTCTTTACCTTAATAGAAGCTTGTGTTGTATTCTTCCATCCTTGGGCTCAATTTCCGTTTGATTCGCCGGTGAACACTATGAATACCCACAAAATCAAACAAATCGGCATCACAGAGGAGACGTCATCGGCGGTCGCCAAAGGAGAGAGGAGGGAGGAGATTGATGAGAGGAGAGAAGAGTTGGTCGAATATCGTGGTCAGTGAAGGGAGATCACCGTTGAGAAGAGGAGGGTTCTCTGAGACAGATTATAGAGAGAGAGTGGGTATACTATGAATCCTTTGATAAACTGTAAGCAATTTGAAGTTAGTTTTCCATCAATACCCTTGCATCCAAAGAAGAAAATGTATAAAGCACAAGGCCAAAATCAACTTTTCAACTATTCAAAAAATACTGCTCATATTTGGCTGAAATTACTGTTCACCTTGCATCCGTGCTTTATATATATTTTATAGATTTGTGAATTGGGCTAAAGTTGAAGTTGTGCATTGTTTTCCGAACTGGCAGACAGGAAAATTGCTTAAAGAGTCCGACAAGGAAACTGGTCACAAAAAGACAATTACATCACTCACAGAATCTGCAGATAGCTCACATCTTCTCACTGGTTCCCTAGATAAATCTGCTAAGGTATACTAACTTGTAACTCTTTAAAGTTTTTTATACTTAATCTATGTTCCATTGTTTTGAACCTTTTCTTATTGGTTTTTCTCCGTGACTTTGGGAGGGTTCTCTGAGACAGATTATAGAGAGAGAGTGGGTATACTATGAATCCTTTGATAAACTGTAAGCAATTTGAAGTTAGTTTTCCATCAATACCCTTGCATCCAAAGAAGAAAATGTATAAAGCACAAGGCCAAAATCAACTTTTCAACTATTCAAAAAATACTGCTCATATTTGGCTGAAATTACTGTTCACCTTGCATCCGTGCTTTATATATATTTTATAGATTTGTGAATTGGGCTAAAGTTGAAGTTGTGCATTGTTTTCCGAACTGGCAGACAGGAAAATTGCTTAAAGAGTCCGACAAGGAAACTGGTCACAAAAAGACAATTACATCACTCACAGAATCTGCAGATAGCTCACATCTTCTCACTGGTTCCCTAGATAAATCTGCTAAGGTATACTAACTTGTAACTCTTTAAAGTTTTTTATACTTAATCTATGTTCCATTGTTTTGAACCTTTTCTTATTGGTTTTTCTCCGTGACTTTGTTAGCTTTGGGACATCAGATCTTTGACACTTATCAAGACCTATGTGACGGAACGTCCAGTTAATGTAGTTGCTATGTCTCCACTTCTTGATCATGTACGTGTTAATGAAGCACTAGTTTTAAGGGTGACGGCCATAATGATATAGGTGCTATGATTCCCAGTAGTGCATGTTTCTCAATGGATTGTCTTGTCATTTGTTTTATCCCCTCATTAATCATATTTTTGTTTATAGGAGTGCATTCACTGTTACCTAGCTGGAAATTGAAGCAATGATTTCTTAATGTTGCAACAATTATTATCGTTTTCTTAAGTTTTTAACAGAATATGAGGATTCGTAAGTACGTTGTATATCATTGTTGCTTATAAATTATACTTGGAAGCAGTGTTGTGAAAAGCGCGCCTAGGCGCAAGGCGAGGCGCAGGTAGTGCGACTGAACAGGTACCAGGCGAGGTGCTGTTAGTAAGTCGCGCGCCTTAGCAGCGACTTGAACCAAGCGAGAGAGGCGCAAGGCTCTTGCCTAGGCGCAACTGACTGTTTAAGAGATAGATCTGATCTAACGGAGGATTACAACTCATGTACCATATGAGCCAAATACGACTCAGATGAACCCTAATCGAAGTTGTCTCTTCCTTTTTCGCCTCGCAATCGACTTCGACTGCTGGAGCTTGATTTCTACTGCGACTGCGACTTAGGACTTCGACTTCGACTACTGGAGCTGGATTTCTACTGCGACTGCGACTTGGGACTTCGACTTCGACTCTCTCTCCCCTTCTCCTTCTTCTTCTTCTTCGACTCTCAGTTCTGGTTTTTTTTTTGTTTTTGGTCTTCGACTTCTTCAGGTCTTCGCCTTCGACTCTTCCTCTCTCTCCTTCTTCAAACGTCGACTTCAACTCTGTTTTGCTTCTTCTTTTTTTTTTTCTTTTTTTTTCAATTATTTGAGTTGAGTCTCTGAAATTATAAAATTAGGGGAAAAATTACAAAAATTAGGGAAAAAAAATTATCTGTAATATGCTATTGAAAAAAAAAATTATTTGTAATATGTAAGAAGAATTTATCTGTTAGGGAAAAAAAATTACAAATAATTAATTATTCACAAATAATTAATTATTTGTAATATGCTATTGATCTTTTTTGGATATTTATGTTTTGGATGTTTGGTAACACTTGCGTTTTTAATTTTCTGTTTATATTTACAAAAATTTAAAAAACTCAAACAAAAACTTATTTGGTAAATTTTTTATTTATAAATCAGTGGTCTCAGTTTATAAATTTGGCCAAAAAATGTAAACTCAAAAAATGTGTTTCCATTTTGAGTTTTCAAATTTTTTTTTTTTACCACCCAACACTAGCCACCACTCGCCACCATTTTCTACCACCATCTTCCGCCACCACCACCTACCTGCCACCACCACCACTCACCACCTACCTGCCACCACCACCCATTACTCACCACCCACCACCACCACCTAAACCATCACCCACCACCCACCCGCACTCGCACCACCATCCACCCCTCGCCGCCACCACCACCACCACACCACCACCCACTACCATCCACGCGCCGCCATCACCACTCACCACCTACCCGCCACCACCACTCACCACCCGCCACCACCATTCACCACCCACACCACCACCCACCACCTACCAGCACCACAATCACCCACCATCCACCCGCCCACCACCACTGCTACCACCACCCACTCGCTACCATCCACCACCACGCACCACCTACCCACCACTACCCGCACACCACTACCACCACCCACTCGCTACCACCCACCACCCGCCACCGTCACCCCCCTCCGCCACCACCACACCCGCCACACCTGATCCCGCCACCCACCTGCACACCACCCACCCACCACCCGCCACCGCCACCACTATCACCCACTCGCTACCACCCACCACCCGTCACCGTCATCCACCACCATCTGCCACCCACCTGCCACCACACCCGCCACCACCACCACCCACTCGCTACCACCTACCACCACATAATCACCACCCACTGCCACCACCAGACCACCTGCCATCACTCACCACCACCCGCCACCGTCACCCACCCACCCACCACGACCACCTGCCACCACCATCACACCCGCACCACTCACCACCACCCGCCATCCGCCACCACCACCCGCCACCGTCCCACTACCCACCCATCACCACCCACCGTCACACTTTTCACTACCATCTTCCGCCGCCACTTGCCATTTCTCATTCTTTTTTATATTTTTAAAATTTTTTAAACATTTTGTCAATTACCAAACGCGTTTGTAGTTTATATTTTTCTAAAAATAAAACAAAACCAGTTTATAAAATTTTTGTAAATATAAACTGAAAACGTAAACGTTACCAAACAGACCAGTGTTTATGTTTTTGTTTTTATTTTATTGAATATGGATTATTTATCTTTGAAAATTAAAATGTTATGTGATATGCACTTTCATGGCTTTGAGAATTATTCTATATTTTATCTTGAATCTTGATTATTTTTATTTTAAAAAATTATCTTAGTACTATGAATGATTAATCTATGTTAATTTTTTTATTTTTTATGAAGACTGTGCACCTTACTTCAATAAAGCCCGCGCTTTGCCTTGCACCTTGCGCCTAAGCCCCGAGAGACCTTCAGCGCCTTGAGCCTTTAAAAACACTCTCGGAAGAATTCATGAAAATATATGAGGAATAGCCTCATTTTCTGTGCACGTATTCATACGCTCCTGTATGCATGTGTTAGCATACTGTTGCGGTAACTTTCTACATTATGTGTCAAACAAAATTGGTTACTGACTCGGTTTTATTTTCTTTGTAGCTTTTTGTTTTACACTTACAATTATTTTGTGAAATGATGCTTCTAGGTGGTGCTTGGAGGTGGTCAGGATGCTTCAGCTGTCACAACTACTGACCATTGTGCTGGAAAGTTTGAAGCCAAATTCTTTGACAAGGTGAAGTGTATTTTTCACATATGATATGTAAATGATATGGGCTCGATAAATTCTTAAACTTCTTGAGGAAACTTTTTCTTCCTTGTGTTTAATTAGGTTCTTCAAGAAGAAATTGGAGGTGTCAAAGGGCACTTTGGACCAAATCCATCATCCAGATGGTAAGACGTATTGGTTTTTTTACATTGCAGCTGCTGCATCTTATTTTTTTTTATTAAACTTATGTGACTCATGATGACAACAGCCCTTCAGTTTTAAAGTTTGGTACAAATACTTTTAGAAAAGTTGAGCAGACAAGAGAAATTTCAAAATATGATAAGATAAATTTTTCTGAAAAAATGTTGAGGGACCTCAACCATTATACAAATATTGCATGTCTTTTATCCTATAAAATCTTAATACCAGATACCTCAAAAAAAAATCCCAAAAATAAAAAGGTAAGCAAAAATGTTGTAAAGTTACATAATTAATTTTAATTATATTTGGATTTAAATTGAGTGTCCTCCTTATACATTACATCAAAATCAAACACATAAATTTAAATAATTGAAGAAAAATATATGATGAAAAATAAAGGGGTTGAGCAAAAATCTTCTTCAAACTCGTGGTCTCTTTGAAACCACTTGAGTTTTAGGGGGCTATTAGTAAATATAATAGTAAATATATTTTGTATATATATTATATAGTAACATGTATTATTTCCATAATAGGGCAAATAAAAAAGCTAATTAAATAAACTCTAATAATAGAAAAATTGAGAGAAAAATATATATTTTTATTTTAATAATTAGATTTGAATTATTAAAAAAAATTCAAGTTCCAATTTAACGATATATATAAAAATGAAAAATGCTTTGGAGCTCTAAATTTTGAGTTCTAATGAGCTAGCAGTGGGCCCCACCCAATGTGATGTGATGTTTTGGTTTTGGTTTTTTTTTTTTTTCCTTCTTGCAATGTCATTAGTACTCCATTAGAGCACCAAAATTAGTGCTCTGAATCATTGCGATATAAAAATAGATAATTGTGAGAGAAAAAAAATAAATTAAATAAAA